AGGGAAGAATAGGAGAGGAGGAGAAGGGTTGTAATCGGAAGAGACGCCGCTGCTTTCTTTTCCGATCTGAGCTTCTGATTTCTTCTGATGCATCACATCAATTGGTTTCAGGGCTTGGATGGGTCGTCGAGGAAGTTGATAAAGAAAAGTCGATGAGGACTAATTTTTTTCCTTTTTCTACTTGAAAGGATCCCTCCCAAGTTTAGTTTTTCCTCTTTTTACTATTTTGATAGTATCAAATTATTAGTCTTCTAAATTTGATACTCACCATTTTTCTTAGATCATAACTTCTGTTAATTTAGATCGGATGATGTTAGTCCATATTTGTTCAAATTATTCCAGTTATACGAAATAACATATATGCGTTGCCATTTTTAGTGATTCAGCCATAGTCTACTGTATCCCGCACGCGAGGCTACTCCATCCCGATGTTTTTCTAGACGGTATGTCCCAACCAGGCTGGATCGTTCTGTAACATGGGTAATGCTTCCCATACCGAACCTTCAAAGTTGAGATATATCTGCTGTGTTTCGTAGTCAAATGTACACTAAGATTAGGTATGAGTCAGTGTGCTGTTGTTAGCAAGGAAAGAAAATTAAAAGCAGGGCAAACCACAGCCAGAGACATGTTCTGATTCAAGGTGCAAGATAGGTGTCCCAAGGACCAAGGCAACAACAATAATAATGGCGAGACATGTTTTAAATAAAACCATCGAAAACAAAGGGAACAAACAAGCACACAAAATCGTAGATCCAAGGATGAAGGCTGCTCTGCCAGTTCACAGGTCCATCTGGGATCCACAATGCAGATTCCTTGTTAGCACTCTCCACTGAATCACTCCCATGGATCACGTTCCTGCATAAAATATTGCCCAATCATCTCATTCCTCATTTTCCAAAGACCTAATACACCCATACTTTTGACAAGAAGAAAATAAAAGCTGCTCTTACCTGCCAATGTCAATTGCAAAATCCCCACGGATGGTTCCTGGTTCAGAAGCTGCAGGGTTGGTTGCTCCAATGATCTTTCTTCCTGTCAAAACAACGTTCTTCTTCTTCTCGAACCTGCAGATGATATCACCGACCCAAAAAATGGAATCCTCGTCAGGCCTAAAAACCTCGGTGGGGATAAGGCAACACAGAAACACTCTAGAAGGATCAACATAAAGGAGGAGAGAAACAAGCGTACAAGACCCCTTTGGACGCGATACCGATTACCAATGAACTAACAACATAGGGACGGAGTTTATATACCAAAACCTTAAGTGCGGCCTATGGGCCTTTCCCGTAAGCCTTGTCATTTTATTACAAGGCCCATGTACACTATTACAAGGCCCATATACACTATTATTTCTATTACAAGGCCCATATACACATGGTCCTTCGTTAAACAAGCTTCGGTATGCAAAGGCGATGATGCTCTACGATCTATCCTTGTCGAAGCTACATCGCATCCGAGATTTTGGCTTTACCCTATGTTGCCGAGGTCTTGTCTTACACTTGAGTTTTACTTTGATTCTGGAATCGAGCTTACAGTAGGGTTTCTAAGCCATATTACTGTGTTCCGTTTGATTGCTCCTTGGGTTTCTGTCTGCAGCTTCAAGGAACCACTAATTCTGATGTGCACCTGGAGTGATTACAAATGTACCCTTCAATCTTCCTTTTCGTTTTACCTAAAATTGACATTTCTTACTTTCTAACGTTTTATGCCATCTCTCACTAGGCAACGCTGATCAAGTTCTTAAGCTAAAGCAGCTCACTCTACTTACCCTGGCAGAGACAAACAAGGTTTTTTTCTTGGTTTTGCTCTTTATATATGTAGTGTACTTTTATGTCATCTCCACTTCTGTGCTTGTTTTTCGTTCAGGTATTGCCTTATGAGACGCTGATGGTCGAGTTAGATATCACTAACGTACGTGAACTCGAAGACTTTCTTATCAATGAATGTATGTATGCGGTAAGTATTCTGGACTAAATTAAAGCTGAATTTATTAAATTCCCATCTTCTTTTTGGGCAATCTCTGTGTTTTATTTGCAATAAAAAATGCTCAAGTTGCATACACAACTCAAGTGTGACAGTTCAGGAAATAGCAATTGAAAAGATGTGCTGACTTTTCGATTTTTTTTTTTTTTCCAGGGTATAGTTCGAGGAAAAGTTGAAAAGATGTTTTGAGGTACTTGCTTTTTCTCACATTCCAGTTATATGATAGTTGCGCTTCTCCTTAGATCTACCAGCGCCTCTTGAACCAGTGTATCCCCTGCAAACATGCAGGTTCAGTTTGCAGCTGGTAGGGATCTAAGGCCAGGACAACTTGGGAATATGATACAAACACTGGAATATTGGTAGATTCTTCCATCTATATTATCTCTTCTGCCTTAGACCACATGATTCTCTATGCTTTAATTTATCAGGAGAAGTCAAACTTATCGTTAGAAACTCTGGAAAATATGTTCTATTTTGTGTGCAATTGATGTTCAGGTTGAGCACATCAGAAGATCTGCTGGTTTCGATTCAAGATAAGATCGAATGGGCGGACAATATGAGTGAGGTGGACAATAGAACTCGAAAGGAAGCAGAAGAGACGGTGGAGGAAGTGAAAAAATCTCTATTCATGAAGGTATCAGTAGATTGTGGCTGATTGTTCTTCTCATTGTTGATTAGGTTGTCACTAAACCAGACAATTACATGTTGGAGTTGGATTTTTGCAAGAATTTAAAATAGGAAATTGCTATGTTATACAGAGCCAACACATGACATAGGCAGTGAGTTGTTTGTTATGCATAATTGGTCCTCGGTCTTACATAGTTCTTATTGTGTTTTCGAATGAGATGAACGACCCCTTAATGAAACTAGAATCATGTGCTTTCACGAAATAAAATAATCTTTAGATGTAGAATGAGAAATCAATCTTGCCCAAGAGTGCAGCTAGTAATTTGGACTTTTAATTCTTGGTGTAGTTTGGACTTTTAATTCTTGGTGATAGTACATGATGATAATTGACAATGGACACTGTTATGACTTGAAAAGTGGGACATATTTGTCTATGTAGTCTTACTTACATTGTGGCAGAAGTTGCACACTGTGGGCAGGCCGAGGCTGAGCTCAGAGGGCACGAAGAGATATTTGGTGAACCAAGTGGAGTGATGGACTACGAAGAAGACCGAAGCAGACCCAAGAGGTAAGTGACTCTGTTACATTTTCCAGAACCCATGATTAGTCTGCTAATGAGGATCCATAAGCTCGCGGATAAGATTTTATATATCCTTGATTAGGTAGAAATCAATTACCCTAAACCCATGGGTAAGTATTATCTCCAAAGTAGATAGATGTGAAATGATAACGTACAACAATAGTTATAACACGGTAACACCAAAAAGTCCTTGGGATATGAGTTTGGTTTTTAGGGACATGGCATATATAGAGAAGACATGACGTACAACTTTGTTTAGTTAAGAATCATGGAACAAAAATTGTTTTGTTGCAGGAGGAGGCATTCGGTGCCATGAATGGTACAA